GCATTTAGGCCAGTGACTGAGCGTCTGGCTCTTGGTGCCACCTGGGCACACCTGTGTTCATCGTGAGCAGTGCTGATGCACTCTGCCGTGTGGCACCCAGATGGGCCAGTACCACCACGATGAGAAGTTGGAGGTGCAGAGCATGGAGGCAGCTTGTCCGGCTGCCGTCCAGACTGACTGTCCTGGCCAAGGTCAGGGTCCAGTGCCCCTCCCTGCCTCTCCTACTGCCCTCCACTGAACTGGTGTCCCGCCAGCTGCCACAGGACAGGGCCTGTCTGGATGCCTGTGTCCTGAGTACCACTGAGTGAAGGCCAAGTCCGTCCTCCACAGGGGACGCCCGCTCAGGCAAACCCATGTGTCCATTTCCCCCTTGGTCCGCGTGCTCAGCCCCCTCTCAGGGTCAGTCCACTCACCCAGTGTCCCCTCGGGCCCATACGCTCAGTCCATCACCCCGCCTGGGTGCCTCGTGTACCTCGGGCCCAGTCCATATGCCCAGTTCCCTCTCCGCCCAGCCCATGCGCCCTTCTCCCCAACCCTCTGGCCCCACCAGGCCCTCAGCGCCAACGGCTCACACATCCCTCCCCCTGCAAAACCACTTGGCTGTGTTTTAGTTTGAAGGACAAGATTAATGATACTTCTTGAAGCGGCTGAGAAAGTCGCAAGGGTAATGTTTACCAAGAGGGCCCACACCTCCCACCCGTGCGCCTGTGACTGCTGTCGGCAGCTCAGCTCCTCTGCACAGGGCTCAGGGCTGCTCAGAGTGTGTGTGTGCTGTGCATATGTGCCACACGTGTGCATGTTCGCTCATGTGTACGCACTGGGTCTGTACGTGAGTGTGTGCAGAGTGCATGTGTGTACTCTGTGTGGGAATGTGTGTGTGTGTGCATGCACTTGTGTCTGTGCCTGACAGAACACGCGCGTGAGCGCACACGGGTGGCACGAGACTTGCCCTCCTCTGCCCTGTGGCACTGTACATTGTGTACCTTGGTCCCCCCTGGAAGGTGAGCAGGTCATGTGGGTGCAGCATCCCCATCCAGGCGCTCACTGGCTTGGTGGTTCAAGCCCCAGGAAAGGTGCTTCTGAAGGGAACACACTTCGTCACCTTCTGGGCTCTGGACAGGCACCCACTGCAGTCTGGCCAGTTCCTCCCTGCTCACTACTGCTGGTGACCCCCTGCGCCCCCAGTCCAGCAGGTGTGCGGTCGAGCCCCACTGAGCAGCTCAGCTGGGCCTGAGGCCTCTTCTGGTGACAGAGCATGGTCCTGAGCGCTGCTGTTTAAGCTCCAAATCTCTGCATTGGGTAAACATTTTACTTACATTTCAGAAAGAAAAATGGTTCTGTCCAAAGTTCCCAGAGGACATTTCACAAGCAGCTTCCAATTCCTGAACGAAGCTGCTGCCAGAAGCAGGGTCTGCAGCCTCTGGAATGTTCTGTGATACAAGAGACCTCAGCCAGACGCGGCCTCTCCTCCCAGCATGTTGCTGCCATTTCCGTGGGGCTACAAGGAGGTGGGTGGGGCACTTGCACAAGAAGCCCTCTCCTCCCGTATCTGCATAGGAACAGCCCCGTGTATCCACTTGCGTGTCCCTCCTGGCTGGCTGGGCCCCCAGAGGGTGGAGTGGACTCGTTCCTGGGCTGTCTTTGGTAAGCATAGAGAGGGACACCTGCCGGAGTGTCGGCTGTCTGTGCGACCTCACCCTCCTGCGTCATTGCTGCAGTTGTCCCTCTCAAGCCTGTCCCTAGCCCCTGCTGCCCTCCACCTCCCCAGATGGGTCATCCTCCTATCCCCACCCTGTTGGTGCGGCTGAACCCAGGGAGCTCAGAGTTCTTGTCATCCGTGAGTAGATCAGCACCCTTTCTTCCAGTCTGAGGGCAAAAGCTCCACTGAACCTGCCTGTCAAGTGACCCTGCTGGTGTGTAAGATACCAGTGACACAGCTCCAGCAGCCAGCAGCATGCCCACCACCACAGCAGGGTCCCCTGACAGACGGGCGGGGGAGAGGGTACAGCCCGCGGCCATGGCCATTGTGGTCTGGCCGTGGACTGCACCCTCCCGCGCACAGCCTACCTCACCTGCCCCTTCAGTGAAAGCCGCCTTCTGTGTCCATCCTGCTGTCTAGGGGGATGCGCTGTAAAGCCGTCTCCGTGCCCACGTCTCTCGGGATGGCCCGCTCTCCACCGGCCGCATTTACGTAAGAGGGTGTTTATTTTTTACCCTCCGTCCTTGTAGGGAACCTTCACAGCTGCTCGTGCGATTCCAGGGGGAGCCAGGTGTCACTTCCAAGCTCAGCCAGGTGCCACGTCCTGGCTCTGCTCTGTGGCAGTGTCCCAGCCCTTGTCACACACCCACCCACCCACCCATCTGCCGGGGGACCATGTGTCCTGAGAGCAGCTGAACTGGAGCGGAGGTTGAGCTGGGGCTGAAGTTGGCCGTGTGCCGTGCAGGGAACACAGCTGGGCCCGAGGGCGTGAGCAGGGCCTGAGATGGGAAGCTGAGGCTGGGCCGCAGGAACACTCTGCCAGGCACTGAGTGATGCCCTAGGGTGCTGTGCTCATGAGGCAGCAGGGCCCCTGAAATCACCTCCTGGCCCCAGCACCCCCCCCCCCTGCTTAGGATGCCTTCGCAGAGGGCTGGGCTGGGCCAGTGTATCGGCCAGGCTCCAAGGGGACCTCCCCGAGCCCCACATGCCTGGGCAACCTGCGCACACGGCCACCTGGTTGGGCTGGACCGTGAACACGGGCGGGGTAAGTGAAGCAGGCAGGAAGTGGTGACATTTCTGCGCTGAGAGCCATCTTTTATTTATCTAATCCAAACTTCATGTGAATTATTCACCCCATTTATGTAAGCAGGGAGCCCAGCTGAGGCTGGTTGGCGCTGGATCTTAGCAGCAGTCCCCACCCCAACCAGTCTTCACTCCAAGGATCCCCGGCTGAGGAATGGTGATGGCCTTGAGATGTGGGAGGCCACGTCCAGGGGGTTGACCGGTGTAGTGGACGAGCAGGCATGTCCCTTATGGGTGTGGACTGGAAACTGCCACAGGAGTGCAGGTAGTGCTGCCCCAAGTGAATGGGCGAGCTGTCCCCACCAGAGGCTCTGGCTCGCAATGCCAGCTAGGGAGGCCAGAAGCTTCCTGGGGTCAGAGCTACCAGTTAACCTTTTGATTTTGTGCTCCGATTACTTGAGCATTCAGAGCCCGTGTCTCCCTGGAGACGTGGGGTGGACAGTGACAGCCATGTGCAGTGATGGGCAGAAATGGCCCTGGGCAGTGATGGGCAAGATAGGCACGATGGCTGTGGGCAGTGATGGAGGCGACGGCCATGGGCAGTGATGGCCGTGGGCAGTGATGGAGACGACGGCCGTGGGCAGTGATGGAGGCGACGGTCGTGGGCAGTGATGGAGGCAACGGTCGTGGGCAGTGATGGAGGCGACAGTCGTGGGCAGTGATGGAGGCGATGGCCGTGGGCAGTGATGGAGGCAACGACTGTGGACAGTGATTGAGGCGACGGTTGTGGGCAGTGATGGGCAGCGATGGCCGTGGGCAGTGATGGAGGCGACGGCTGTGGACAGTGATGGAGTTGACGGCTGTGGGCAGTGATGGAGGCGACAGTTGTGGGCAGTGATTGAGGCGACTGTTGTGGACAGTGATGGGCAGCGATGGCCATGGACAGTGATGGAGGCGACGGCCGTGGACAGTGATGAAGTTGACGGCCGTGGACAGTGATGGGCAGTGACGGCCGTGGACAGTGATTGAGGCGACGGTTGTGGGCAGTGATGGGCAGCAATGGCCGTGGGCAGTGATAGGTATGGTCATGGGGGGAGTGCAGCAGCCTGCAGGACTGCACTGGAGGCTTCCAGTGCTAGGGACTCACACCCAGAAAAAAGGTCCTGTGCCAGGCGTCCCATGTGACTGGTCACATCAACAAGGTGGAGTCGCCCTCTGCCCCTCTTCTCTGTGCTCGGAGGCAGGGACAGCTGCTGACGGCTGAGCCTGTTCCCTTGTCTGTGTAACAGGTCGCAGGCCTCCACAGTTTCATGTGAGAGTTGGCGTCCCTCACATTATAAGAACAGCAGTGCTTATAATCCTCTACTGGAACCTCTGGTGTCCTAGTGGGTAAAGAGCTGTACTGCTAACCCAAAGGCACTCAGTTTGAATCCACTTTGCTCCACAGAAAATGAGCAGTCTCCTCCCATGCAATCTATAGCCTCAGAAAGTTCCCTGGAGGGTTAAGTCGTTCTGACTTGAGGGTTCATAGCACCACTTAGAAGGACCCTCGGCTGCTGGCCTGGCCTGGGCCCTGAGGGTGTTGCATGGCAGTTTCCTGAGTCACTCGTGACAATTGGTGCTGTGGGGAGCTTGTCCAGGGACACAGGATCAGGAGAAAGTGGCTGAGGTGGGTGCTGGCTTCCTGGGGGTTTCTCTCCAGAAAGGAACAGCTCCTCATCACACCCCAAGTGCTTCCTCTAGGGATCCCTTCCTCACCTGCAGATGGAGCCCCTAAATGTGACCAAACCCCTCCATGCCCAGTGGGGCTTCCACCTGGTACTGTAGGGGCTTCTGGGTGCAGTGTCCTGCCGGCTTCTGCAGCAGTGATGCTCCTGCCAGTGCAGGTGGCTGTCACTGTCAGATGCTGGGATGCCGCAGAACTTCAGTCTAGTGTCCAGCTTCTGTGTCCACCTCCTCTACAAGGCACCTGCTCTCCTGTGTCACACTCCCTACTGTGGTCGTCACACCTGACTCCCAGGGCAGGGTGGTGTGAGCGCGCTCACTCTGCGGTCAGGTGCACCACACCAGGTCAGGGTGATGTGAGCACACTGTGCAGCAGGGCGCTGGTCCTCAGGAGGGAGAGGGCCTGGTGTGAATCTGCAGCCTGAGCTGCAGGTGCAGCTTATGCCTCCTGTCAGAGTAACAGGGGCACTCGTGACTTCACCACTGAGGGACCTCCTCTCCCTCCTTCCCTCCCATCACCAAGCGCCTCACCCTCTGGCGTTTCTCCCCACAGACCTGAAGAAGCAGGTGGAAAGCGCAGAACTGAAAAACCAGAGACTGAAGGAGGTCTTCCAGACCAAGATCCAGGAGTTCCGGAAAGTCTGCTACACGCTCACGGGCTACCAGATCGACATCACCACCGAGAACCAGTACCGCCTGACGTCCATGTACGCCGAGCACAAGGCCGACTGCCTGCTCTTCAAGGTGAGCCGTCCCTGCGCTCAGGGACCGGGAGGAGGGACCCCTTCAAGGTGAGCCACTGCTGGGTGGTGGGACCCGGATCCGGTCGAGGCGCCGTTGCTGGGTGGTGGGACCCGTTCAAGGTGAGCTCCTACTGGGTGGTGGGCCCGTTCAAGGTGAGCTCCTACTGGGTGGTGGACCCGTTCAAGGTGAGCTCCTACTGGGTGGTGGACCCGTTCAAGGTGAGCTCCTACTGGGTGGTGGACCCGTTCAAGGTGAGCTCCTACTGGGTGGTGGACCCGTTCAAGGTGAGCTCCTACTGGGTGGTGGACCCGTTCAAGGTGAGCTCCTACTGGGTGGGGGGACCCGGTCAAGGGGCGCTACGACCGCACTTGGTGACTGGGAGGGGGCGCCCATTTAAGGTGAGCCGTGACCACACTTAGGGACTGGTTCAAGGGGAGCCGTAACCACACTTGGTGACCGGGAGGGGGAACTCATTCAAGGTGAGCTGCGGCTGTGCTTGATGACCAGGAGTTGGAACTGGTTCAACGTGATGTCTGTGGTCACACTCTGGCTGACCAGGGCCAAGGATGGTCCTCGTGTCCAGTGAACCTGTGGTAGTTCTTGGCTGACCGGGAGCAGTGGTGGCCCTTGGCCTTGAAAATGGCATTGAGAAGGCAGAGCAGCGTGGGATGTAACACTGGACCCACGAGGGCAGAAGGAGGCCTCTGGTCCCCCATCGTTTTTGAGGCCAGCAGCAGCTCTAGGTGCCCTGTTAGCAACCATGGGACAGAGGCACTGGTGTGGGTGCCTGCTTATCCAGACAATGCCAGTTCCGGGAGGGGCGGGGAAGGGCTGCCTCCTGCTGTAATGCGTGTCGGCTCAGGCACCAGCGTGCAGGACCAGTCAGGGTGACAGATGGTGGGTTATACTCGGTGCCCGTGCTCCGGGATGGACGTGGCACAGGGTAGTGCGGTCTGCATGTGGGCAGCGACCGGCCATCATGGCAGAGAGACAGGGACAGCCCAGTGCCGTGGCCCGAGTGTCCACACCCACCACACATGGCTGGACTGCTCCAGGCTCAGTGGAGACACGCATGGTGAGCTGGCAGGTGCCCACTGGCCAGCAGCTGCCAACAGGTGTTAGCTTGGACCGGGACGGGTGGACTGCCCCTTGACCAGGCCGAGGTGGGGGTCCCACCTGGCTCTCGAGCGACGTACTGCACACCTGTCCTGGTCACACCACAGTGTATCCTCACATGATGGGCAGCTGTGGCTTGAGGCTGAGTTGGAGCCAGAGGTCAGGGCCTCTGGATGTGGTGGTGACGTGGCGGGGCTCTGGTCGTGTCTCGGAGCAGAGGTCGCAGGGCAGCGCGCTGTGGGGCACAGAAGGCCTGCCCTATGGGGTTTCCAGGGCTGTACACAGAGAAGGAAGCCGATTTCAGAGTGGGCGACGGGTTCCAGCACTCAGCCTGCTATGCTACCAGACCCTTTACTCAGTAGAACTGGTAGTCCCGTTTCCAAGCTTGTGAATTTTCAGGCAAGGTGGTGCCTCCCAGGACCCGTGTGTGCATACATGGTGCTGTATTAGTTTACGTTTGTGGAGTCAGGGTCTCGGGGTCTCCCCACTTTTGAAAGTGCCCCACCAGCAAGCACCCTGTAGAACATTATCTCAGCCTGTGTGGGGTCAGGGACTGGCAACTTCCTCTGTGAACAGTCAACCCCAAGGGCCCATCCCCCATCACAGAGACCCAGACTCACTGCCCTCCCCAGGGAGCTGCCAGTCTACCGCCCCCTGAGCCCCAACGTGCCCTGGCCTCATCCAGGCCCTCACACCATCCCTGACACCTCCAGTGGACCTCCAGTGCCATGCTGACCTGGGGCACAGCTGGAAGTGGCCCATGACCCGAGCCTGGCCACACGGCCCCAGCACCACCCCAGTCACCCTGCGCCTAGGGGTACAATTCCAGGTGGCCGCTGAATCAGATCATACTGGACATGGGCTCCTGGCAACTTCCAATTCTTTTCTTTTCCAAGAGCAGTCTTCAGGCAGGAAGGGGGCTGCAGACAGAGTTAGAAATAGCATCGGCCTGTTTACACTCGAACAGGTTCCGCAGATGCATGCTGGGATAATTGTGGGCTTGGTCAAAGCTCTGCACAGCCCTGCTTGCAGAGAAAACAGCCCCCCATCGAGCAGGGCCAGCTTCCGGGGCCACCGTGGTATAAGACACCGCCTGGACAGCCGTTCTGAGGGAAAAGCCAGACCCTTGACCTAGCTATTCCCTGCAGGACCCTGGCCACCTCCCCCGGGAGCAGCCAGCTCCATGGTGCTCTCCGAAGGCAGGCCCAGACCGTAGCCTGGAGTCAGCCGTGGGCGGGGCAGCCCCTCCCCTGCTCTGCTGCTTGGTGGTTCACCTTCTTCCTCTCCCACTTCTCCCTTTCTCTACCTTCCTCTTCCCACTTGAAGGCTAGGGGACAAAAACGTCCTGTTAGCAGAAGGAGCAGCAGGACAGCTAGGTCAAGGTCAGACAACAAATACGTGCTGGTGGTGATGCTGCTGTTACTGGTTGCTGTCAGGTGTGTTCCTCTTGTAACCTCACGTGTGCAGAGCAGAGCTGCCCCTCAGGCCTCTCAGAACTGGGACCTTTCGGAAGCAAGAGTGCTAACCCAGGGTTATTAGTTATCCTCTCAGCACTTAACCAGCCAGTAACTCTTGCAAATACATTGCAGAGCCAGACTTAGTGACTTCTGGTGCTTAGTGAAGTGAGCCACCCAGAGTCACGTGCAGCCACCGCCACGTGGCCTGGAGGCTGAGCCTGGAAACGGAAAGTGATGTCTAGATGGCGGCGGCTGCGCAGGTGAAGAGACCCCACCACACACATACTTCCGTGAGCATGTACTTGAGTGGCTGCAGAGCACACGGGGGAAGCCCCTGAGCTGCTGTGTTTGCACATAAACCTGCAAATGGTTGGTGCATGCAGTGAGTTCAGGCCTGCACGCCAAGTCCTCAGCCCGTGGTCATCATTGACCACGGCCCTGGGCAGTGTGTCCAGCCAATGGTAGTAGCCATGACGGTCATGATATTGGCAGTATGCTTTTCCAAAGACCCCAGAGACCTGACCCCACCAAGCCTTGGGAGTCTCTCTGGAGTGAGGTCTCAGGCCAAACATCCTTGCCCAGTTCCTGGTTCTGCCTCTGGCAGCAGTGACACAGGATGGTATCCTCGTGTGAATGACGCGAACTTGCCTGTGGGAGGGCCTCATGGGACCCTGAAACAGTCTTCTCAGGGCCCTGCTTACAGGATAGTGGGGGGGGGGCACCTGCACTTCTCCAATCATTGCCTTCCCCATCCCGTCTCCCCCTGCAAAGCTTTCTAGAAGCTTCAGGCCAGGCCCCATTTGGAGAATTGGTGTTGAGCAAGTATCAGGAGGACACAGGTCATTTACAGAGAAGGATAGCAGCAGAGGGCCTTGGTGGTCACAGAAGGGAGGTGGGCGGCCGCAGTGCAGTTGGGCAGCTGGCAGAGAAGCAGGTAGGGAAGCAGCTGTCTCCCACTGCACACCGCAGCGGAAACTCCGGCCGCCTCAGGCCATTCTCATGTAGCCGGTGACATGAGACTGGACATCTAGCTAGCTCGCTGCCTTTCCTGTGATGGTGGCATCAGAGCCTGGCCCCAGGGTGTCCTCTGAAGGCTTCTCTGGGAGTCAGGTCCGGGGTCAGTGGCTGACCACATCATGTGGCTCTTGGCCTCTCCCTCTCCCAGGTGGGCCAGTGGTGGGCAGACACTCCTGTTCACCTCTTGCTGTGGGAGGAAGGCTTTGTGTCCCAGCCCCACTCTGCTGACCTCGCTCTTGGGGGACTGGACTGTGGACAAGCCCAGATGTGACCTCAGCCTTTGTTGGCTGTCTTCCCTCAAACGGAACCCTTTCCCACAGAAGCTTCATCTCCCAGGGGGCCTGGGGGGGGCCCAGGGCTTGGATGCCAGCAAGCACCTGCCCATGTGTCAGACTTCTGCAGTAGACTGCCTGGTTGAGATCTCACCTTGCCCACCCAAGCACCAGAAGTGCCCACCTAGGCCACACCAGCCTTGCCCTCAGATCTGCCCCGGCCCTTCTGCCTTCCCTGCTCATCGTTCTCCCCAGCGGCTCCTTACTCATTTCAGAATCTTGTGGTCAGCTGAGCTGCAGGGACTCGTCAGAGACACTGCCGTTCTGACTCGGTCATTGTTTGAATGGGGTCTTCAGAGAGGGCCAGCAGCTCCACCCAGGCATTTACGTTATTTCCTGGGGACTTAGAGTGTCTGAGTCATCTGATGAAATCACCTGTTTGGTTTTGTTTATTTGTGTGTGTGTTTGTTTGGTGTCCTGACCACAGGACTTCCCAGTTTTCAGGAGTCTAAGGATCTTCTGAGCGAGGACTGGGTGGCGTGAGTGGTATTCAGGACACTCAAGCCGCAGCCCCAGGAGGAACTTGCCTCTGGAGTATGGAGCTGTCCTTCCTGTGGTGCTGAAGTAATGGTGTGACCTTTCTGCTACTAGGAGCTATCCTGCTCCCTGGTGCTGAGGTTCAAGTGCAGACTTAAGGCCTCAGGGGAGTGGTCCTGCTCCTTGATGCTGAGGTTGAAGTGTGGACTGCAGGCCCTAGGGAAGCCATCCTGCTGAAGTTGACAGCTGGACCTTCAGGCTACTGGCTGCGGGCACTGGACTGATTGTGGAAAGCAGCCCCGCAGGGATTTGGACGGCTCCCTGGCTGTTTCATGCTCACCTCTGGGCATGTGCTGACTGCTGGGATCCTTGTGGTAGAAGGCAGGATTCCTCCAGACCTCCAGCACTGTAGGTAGCCACCTACAGGGCACAGAGTCAGCGATTCCTTCTTTAGCCATGGACAGGCTGAGAGAGCAGGCTACTCAAACAAAGGGGCTCGGCAGTGGGGAGCACAGCCTCCACGTGCAGTGGGCTCCAAAGGTATGGAGGATGGCCAAGGTCACTCAGCAGGTAGAGCTGGAGCCCCGGCCCATTGGGTCAG